CACTGTGTAGTACATAATTAATCCTCGATGCAGTGTTCAACTATTCATTAGTTAACTGTAACACCCAGTGCTCATCACAGCATGTGTCCTTCTCAAAACCCATCACCCTCTTACCTGCTGTTGGTATTTTGATAGGGATTTCATTGAATCTGTAGATTGCTTAGGAAAGTATGAACATTTTAATAATATTGATTTTTCTAATCCATGAGCATAGAATATCTTTTCATTAATTTGTGCCATATTCAACTTCTTTCATCAGTGTTTTATAGTTTTCAGAATACAGGTCTTTACTTTCTTGGTTAAGTTTATTCCTACGTATTTTATTATTTCTGGTGAAAATGTAAATGGAGTTCTTTTCTTAATTTCTCTTTCTGTTCCTTCATTACTAATGTACATAAATGGAACCAAATTTTGTGTATTAATTTTATATCCTACAACTTTATTGAATTTATTTATTACTTTTAATAATTCTTTTGATAGACTCTTTAGGGTTTTCTATATGCAGTATCATGTCCTCTACAAATAGTGACTTGTTTCTTTCTTATTAATTTGAATACATTTTATATCTTTTGTTGGCTAACTGCTCTGGCTAGAATTTCTAGTAATATGTTGAATAACAGTGGTGAGAGTGGGATATTCTTTTTTTTTTTTTAAAGACTTATTTTTATTTTTATTTATTTGACAGAGATCACAAGTAGGCAGAGATGTAGACACAGAGAGGAAGGAAGCAGGGTCCCTGCTGAGCAGTCAGCCCGATGCGGGCCTCCATCCCAGGACCCTGGAATCATGACCTGAGCTGAAGGCAGAGGCTTTAATCAACTGAGCAACCCAGGCACCCGAGAGTGGGATATTCTTGTCTTATTCCTGATCTTAGAGGAAAAGTTGCTCAGTGTTTCAACTAAGTATGAGGTTAGCTGTGGGTTTTTCAAATATGATCTTTATTGTGTTGGGATAGAGCCCCTCTAAACCCACTTTATGGAAGGTTTGTATCATGCATTAGTGTACTTTGTCAAATGTTTTTTCTTCACCTAATGAGATGACCATATGATTTTTGTTCCTCATTTTGTTAATGTGGTGTATCATATTGATTGATTTGTAAATAGCGAACCATCGCTGTATCCCTAGATGCACTTGATCATGATGAATGATCCTTTTCATATATTGTTGATTGTGATTTGCTGATACTTTGTTGAGGATTTTGCATGTATGTCCCCCAGAGATATTGACCTATAGTTTTCCTTTTTGTGGTGTGTTTATGTCGCTTTGGTATCAAGCTGATAATGGTTGCAATAGAGTGTATTTTAAGCTTTCCTTCTATTTTTTGGAAGTTTGAGGAAAATAGGTATTAACTCTTCTTTAAATGTTTGGTGAAATTCACCTATGAATCCTTCTAGATCCTGGATTTTTATGTTTTGGCAATTTTTTGAATACTGATTCAATTTTAAGTGTGTTCAGATTTTCTGTTTCTTCTTGATTCAGTATTTATTTATTTTTAACATCTAATGTATTATTTGTCCCAGGGGTACTGGTCTGTGAATCATCAGGCTTATACATTTCACAGCCCTCACCATAGCACATACCCTCCCCAATGTCCATAATCCACCATCCCATCCCTACCCCACAACCCAACAGCAACCCTTTTGTTTTGTGAGATTAGGAGTCTCTTATGATTGGTCTCCCTCCTTATCCCATCTTGTTTTATTTTTTCCTTTCCTACCCAACACAGCCCCCCACCCTGCCTCTCAAATTCCTCATATCAGAGAGCTCATATGATAATTGTCTTTCTCTGATTGACTTATTTTGCTCAGCATAATACCCTCTAGTTCCATCCATGTTGTTGCAAATGGCAAGATTTCATTTCTTTTGATGGCTGCATAGTATTCCATTGTATATATATATATACCACATCTTCTTTATCCATTCATCTGTTGATGGACATCTAGGTTCTTTCCATAGTTTGGCTATTGTGGACATTGCTGCTATAAACCTTCATGTGCATGTGTCCCTTCAGATCACTACATTTGTATCTTTAGGGTAAATACCCAGTAGTGTGATTGCTGGGTCATAGGGCAGGTCTATTTTCAACTTTTTGAGGAACCTCCGTACTGTTTTCCAGAGTGGCTACACCAGCTTGCATTCCCACCAATAGTATAGGAGGGTTCCCCTTTCTCCACATCCTTATCAACATCTGTCATTTCCTTATTTGTTAATTATAGCCATTCTGACTTGTGTGAGGTGGTATCTCATTGTGGTTTTGATTTGTATTTTCCTGATGTCGAGTGATGTGGAGCACCTTTTTATGTGTCTGTTAGCAGAAATGTCTGTTCATGTCTTCTGCTCAATTTTTGATTGGATTATTTGTTCTTTGGGTGTTGCGTTTGCTAAGTTCTTTATAGATTTTGGATACTAGCCCTTTATCTGATATGTCATTTACAAATATCTTCTCCCATTCTGTCAGTTGTCTTTTGGTTTTGTTAACTGTTTCCTTTGCTGTGCAAAAGCTTTTGATCTTGATTAAATCCCAATAGTTCATTTTTGCCCTTGCTTCCCTTGCCTTTGGCGATGTTCCTAGGAAGATGTTGCTGCGGTTGAGGTCAAAGAGGTTGCTGCCTGTGTTCTCCTCAAGGATTTTGATGGATTCCTTTCTCACATTGAGGTCCTTCATCCATTTTGAGTCTATTTTCGTGTGTGGTATAAGGAAATAGTCCAATTTCATTTTTCTGCATGTGGCTGTCCAATTTTCCCAACACCATTTGTTGAAGAGACTTTTTTCCATTGGACATTCTTTCCTGCTTTGTCAAAGATTAGTTGACCATAGGGTTGAGGGTCTATTTCTGGGCTCTCTATTCTGTTTATTGATCTATGTGTCTGTTTTTGTGCCAGTACCATGCTGTCTTGATGATGACAGCTTTGTAATAGAGCTTGAAGTCTGGAATTGTGGTGCCACCAACTTTGGCTTTCTTTTTCAATATTCCTTTGGCTATTTGAGGTGTTTTCTGGTTCCTCAATCATACCTTCTAATCATCTTTCTTTCTTTCTCCCCTCAGGGATCCCAATAACTCTGACATTGAAACATTTCATGGTATCATTGATCTTTCTAAGTCTGTTCTCACAGGCTTCTAGCCACCTGTCCCTCTCTTCTTCAGCTTCCTTCTTTTCTATCAACTTATCTGCTAGATCACTAATTTGTTCTTATGCCTCATTTACCTTGGATGTTAGAGTATCCAGTTTAGACTGCATCTAATTCATAGCATTTTCTAGTTTGGCCTGATTAGATTTCATTTCTGCCCTTAGAAATTCTATATTGTTACTAATGCTTTTCTCAAGCCTAACTATTGACTTCATAATTGCTACCCTGAAATCTATATCTGACATTTTAGTTATATCCATATCCATTAGATCTGTGGCAGAGGCCATTGTCTCTGTTTTTTTTCTTTGTTGGGAGATCCTCCTCTTAGTCTTTGTGTTGAGGGATGGTTAAGAGAATGTGCAGAGTTCAAAATATCAACCACAACCCAAGCAAGAGGCATCTTAGGAAAATCTGGAGTGGTCAGAAGTCACCACTGAAAAAGCAAAGCCAAAATAAAATACAAGAAATACAAGAATAAAATTTGTAAAATTTTAAATTAAAAAAAAAGTAAAAATTAAAAAAAAAAAAGAATAAAGGGGGCAATCTCTCAGTAAGGACAAAGTAGGGTATTTAAGTTGTTCCTGGGAGTATTTTGTTCTGTTTGTTAGAGTACACTACTTCCCAAAATTATAGGGAAAGTAAAACTTGTATATATACAAAGGTAATATTGAATAGGGAGAAAAGGGCTACGCTGAAGCATATATCTATTAAAAAATACAGATGTGGAAAAGTACAAGTTAAATAAAGCTACTATGAAATATAAGTTGATATATTGAACATGCAGTTGAAATGAGAAAAAGGTAAAAAAAAAAACAAGAAAAAGGTGGGATGTAGATTATATATTGCTAAGAATAAAAAGAAAAAGAAACTTGTATCTGAAAAATAAAGCAAGCCATGAGGCAACTACTGGAGCTCAATACACTATTTTCGCCAGTGTTGGGATTTTACAGTTTTATAGGGACACTATAATTGTCGTCCTCTTGTTCTTCCAGTAGGTCTTCTGGGGGCTGGGGGCTGGGGCTGGGGGTTGTTTTTCAGGCAACCTGCTTGGGGAGAGTTGTCCTGCCTCCTATTGGGAGGATGAGATCAGTGGAGACTGGTTTTTTGAGATTTTGTTCTCTCTGCTTCCGTGCCTCCTTGAGGGTCAGAGCAAAAATGGTCACACCCAAACCTCTGGCCCAGAGCAGAGAAATTAATGTTGGTTGTCTTCACTGTACCCTCCAGGACAAACCTTCTCTGTTTCTCTGTGTACTGCAGAAAGCTGCAGCCTCTCACATTTCATGCCCACAGTGATTCTCTGAGGTTAGGGCCTGGGAGTGTCCATGCCCTTTGTGTTTCTAAAACTGCCCAGGGCCCCAGGCTCATGCATGCACCTGCAGCTCCTGGATCCTGCCTGAGCACTGCACTAAAGCCCTTTCCCAGCCATTACTGCTGCCCAGACCCTGGCACAGGACACTTTTGTGCTCTGGTGTTATATCACTCTCCAGGAGCCAGTTTATGGAGGCTCCCTCACCCTTCTGTTTATCTTCCAATATCCCCCTGAAGCTTCATAACTCTGCTCTTCCTACCTTGCAACAGGCAGCGCTTTTCTGCTTTTAGAGATCTAGATATATATTCTTACATCTCAGGCTGATTTTGTGGATGTTCAGAATGGTTTGGTAGATATCCAGCTAAATTCAGGGGACTGATTGAAGTGGGGTCCTTACTCTTCTGTCATCTTGCCTCCCCCAAAGCTACCTGAGCAACCTTTTAATGCTAGGTAATTATAAACATCCTTAGCTGTACATTATTAATTTCCAAAGTGAGTTTATTTCTACAATGATTATTGGAATTATGTACTGTAATTTATAAAAGTTTTTTTTTCTTTTAGCTTCTAGAGGTGGTCCATTTGCTTGTTATGATGAAGTAAATACAAGAGGAGATAGATATGGAAACTGTGGCCGAGATTTTTGCAGTTATCCGTATGTATTTAGAAATTTATAATTTTGTTTGGGATATAGGTTATATATTGCTAAGATCCTAGAATATATGGCAGTTTATCACAGGTTTCTTTGTTTTATGATCTGAACTGAACAGTATTACCCATCGCCTACAAATGATATGTATTCAGTGCCTATAATGTTACAACAGTGATATTTGTAGTGAGAATTATTTATTTTATTTTACTAATGAAAGAATTGAAGACTGGTGATTTGCTCAAATTTAAGAAGCTAATATAAGACAGGCCAGGGCTGTCAGGTTGCAGGTATCATTAATATTTCCCTTAGCACATAGACTCACAGAACAAAAATGGCCACATCATACATAGATTAGTGTGCTCAGAAAGTTTTCTGAGAGAATATTGTTGACACCTGGAGTTAAATTTGTAAGACTTTTTTTTTTTTTTAAACTTAGGTGTATCAGGAATCTATGTTATTTCAGTAAATAATAAGAGAATTTTTTCTCTGCCCTATGATTCTAGTAATCTTCTATGTGGAAAATTAGTTTGTGCCTGGCCACACAAAACATTAATATCACGTGCAAATTTATCTGTGATTTATACACATGTCCAAGACGAAATATGTGTATCTACATTTCGACCCAATGAAAAGTTACCTAAAAATTCATGGACAACATATGAAAATCCTGAAGATAGAGATGATACATTTGTACAAGATGGCACTGTGTGTGGTCCTGAGATGGTAATTAGAACTACAAAATTTCAAGTGTTTTAACAATTATTTTTTACAATACACCAAGCAATTCACTGTTAAACAGCTTTGTTGAAATATTGTTTACTATAATAGTCATTCATGATATATACAATTCATTGCTTTTGATTAATGTATCACCACATCCAGTTTTAGAACATACTATAACTCTTGCCCATAAGCAACATATCCAATTTTCCCAGTTATTAACATCTAATAGTAATATGGTACATTTGTTATAGTTAATGAACTAACAATGTTTATATATTATATTAAATAAATTCCACACTTCATTCAGATTTCTTTTACCTAATGTCTTTTCCAGGATTCCACCCAAAATACCATATTACATTTATCAAATATGTATTCATAGACTTCTCTTGACAGTGACAGTTTCTCCTAATTTCTTTGTTTTTGATGGCCTTGATGGTTTCTAGAACTGGTCAGGTATTTTGTAGTATGTCCCTCATATTAAAATTTGTCTGCCATTTCTCTTATGATTAGACTGGGTTTATGTATTTTTGGGAGGAAGACCTCAGAGGTAAAGTATCTTTCATCATATCATTATCAAGTGTTGATGTTAACCTTGATCACCTGCCTGAGGTAATATTTGTCAAATTTCTCACTGTTAAGTTACTCTTTACTTCCCTTTCCATATTGTACTTCCCTGAAAGAAGTTACTTTGCATAGTCCATACTTAAGAAGTAGGAAGTTATATTTCACTTTCTTGGGGGCTCAGTAGTTACATAAATTATTTTTAATTCCTCTGCACCAAAGGTTTGTCTGTTCTCCATTTATTTATTCAGTCATTTATTTGTAACATTGTAGACTCTTGGATATTTATGTTATTATGCTCTGGGTTATAATCCAGTACTACTTTATTGATTTCGTTATTCAAGTTTTTCTAGCTTTGGCCAGTCAACTGGTGTCTCTTTGGCAAACTCTTAACACTGTGAGAGGTTTTTTTTTTTTTTCCTTTTTTCTTTTTGAGTGCTTCCTTACTTTCTAGAATCACAAGATGTTCTACATTGATACTGAATGTATCCTGCCCCAGTTCCTAAAATCAGCCATTCTCCAAGGAACCCTGGTTCATCGAAATGGGAAATAGTATTTAGAAACCAAGATCTAGGTATTAATTTTCCTTTCTGCTATTGGGAGTGTCACTTTTGGCCCCATCAATAGACAGAGCTAGGAAATGTCTATCTATATCTACATAGGATTCAAGCATATGAAAACATATAGATACATATACATGAATATATGTATATATGTATACATGTATATATACTCACACTCATATCTTGTATATATATTTCTATATATGCATATCTACATTACAAAGCACGAGGTCAAAATTATACTTTCAAATTGAATCCACAATATAGGTTTCATTCTAGCCTCGTATCTTTTCATATTTTTGACTCTTTTCTATGATAGTGATATACTTTGACACTTTCTTTGACAGTTATCTATATAAATTCCATCCTTGGATGTCTTTGGAATACACATTAAACTATCTCAGAATTGCTAGCTCATTCCACTGTGAAATTCTTCTTCCCCTTAGCCTGAAGTGTATGTAAAAATATTTTATTCAAGAATTATTTGGGGTTTATTCATTTTTCTTCTTAATGTGGTTAGATTGTTCATTTGAAAAACAGTAAGTTTTTTGGATTTCTCCCTGTCCTGTTCATTTTATTTTAGCTTAGTTTCTGATATGTGAAATATAAAATGATTTTTAAGATTGAAAACTATAAGGGCAACTGGGTGACTCTGTCAGTTAAGTGCCCAACCCTTGATTTTAGCTGAAGTTGAAATCTCTGGGTTGTGAGATTGAGCCTTGAGACTGGGTCTGTGCTCAGTATGAGTCTGCTTGTGTGTTTCCCTCTGTTCCTACCCCCCCACTACTATTCACATATGCCCTCTTTCTCCCAAATAAATAAAACCTTTAAAAAAATTTTTAAAAAGATTCAAAACTATATGTGGTTATACTCAGAGAATTATCCATTCCCATCCCTGTAAACCCTGTAAACCTTCTATCCATTCTCATTTCTCTCCCCTACTCCCAGTAGAGAAACAATTAGTTTTCATTATTAGTTTCTATTATTGTAGTTTTTTAGTTTTAGCTATCTTACCTTTTATTTGTTGCACAATGGAGCAGATATGTACATTTCTTATACCTCCTTTGTTAAACAAAAAGTAGTATTACATACTATAAATGCTTTTGCACTTTTTTTTTTTTTGCTTAACACATTTTGTGGTGATTAATTTACATCAGTTCTAAAGCGCTTGCTTATTTTATATTTTCTGGCTGAATTTTATTTGATTTATTAAAATTAATGCAATTTTTCATTTTGAAATAATACACACACATCAAAAATGACTGGAAAATACAAAAAAGGAAAAAAAATCATTCATAGTATTATCACCTAAAGATAAATTCTCTTTATATTTCAGAACATGTATTTCCAGTATTTTTTGTGTTTATAGCATTTTTTCACTGTCTTAATATTATGAAATTAATAGAAATATAAATTATAAAGATACTATATCTTTGAATAATTTTTGAAATGGAGAAAAATATAAAGAAGGAAAACCATTACACAGAATTTGTTTACACAGAATTAGTCACAGTTATTGGTGGTCTTTTTTTAAATTAAACTTTTTAATTTTGAAGTAACTATACTTTAATGGAAAATAAAATACGTTAGAGAGGTCCTGTCTATCCCAAATCCAGATTGTCTTAATATCTTTAACCTGTAAAATATAAAAAACAGGAAATTGACTTTGGTAGAAACCTTATTTAGATTAGAATGTGTATGTGTGTGTGTGTTGTCTGTGTGTAGTTCTGTGCAATTATATAACATGTATAACCATGGAACCACCATCACAGTCAAAATACAAAACTGTTCCATCCACCAAAATGGAATTCTGTCATGGATTCATTTTGTAGTCATACCTTTCCCTTGTACACCTAATGCTCTGTTCTAATCAGTTCTCTATCTCTATAATTCTGTCACTTGGAGAATGTTATATTAGTAGAATTATCTAAAAATCTCTAGAGATTAGTTTTTTTCAGCCAGCATGACATCCTTGGGATCTATCTAGAAAGCCACATGTATCAATGGTTTATATTTAGTGTTGAAATATTCCATTACACGAATACACCATAGTTTGCCTAACATTCGTTCTTTTTTTAGTGTAAGTTTTTATATTTTTATTTTATTATTATGTTCAGTTAGCCAACATATAGTAGTATATCATTACTTTTTGATGTAGTATTCGATTTATTAGTTGCATATAATGTCCAGTGCTCATCACAACATGTGCCCTCCTTAATACCCATCACCTCACTATCCCATCTCCCTACCCCCACCTATCTGAAATCCTCAGTTTATTTCTCAGGGTCCAGAGTCTCTCAAGATTTGTCTCCCTCACTGATTTCTTCCCCCTCAGTTTTTCCTCCTTTTCTCTATGGTCCTATGTGCTATCCACATATGAGTGAAACCATATGATAATTGTCTTTCTCTGCTTGACTTATTTCACTTAAAGAAATAGGTCTATGTTATCTTGGCTCAACTCAAAATCATAATGAATTGTTATTTGATTATTGTGCCATTTTTAAATATCTCCTATAAATTCTATGTTATAATTTTTTGGTCCTAAATTATTTCTTTTGTGTGTGTGCATGACTTTCTGACACCATAGAAATACAAAGGACTATAAAAGAATATTATGAAAAATTATATGTCAACAAACTGGACAACCTAGAAGAAAAAGATGAATTCCTAGAAACATATAAACTACCAAAGTTGAACCAGAAAGCCCACTGCCATGGTACTGGCACAAAAATAGACACCAGAAATAGCAAATTTGAACAACCTGATTGCCAGCAATGAAATTGAATCACTAGTCAAAAAAATCCCAAGAAACAAAAGCCCAAGACCAGATGGTGTTACAGGTGAATTCTACCAAACATTTAAAGAAAGTTTAATAACTAGGGGCACCTGGGTGGCTCAGTGGGTTAAAGCCTCTGCCTTTGGCTCTGGTCATGATCCCTGGGTCCTGGGATCGAGCCCCGCATCGGGCTCTTTGCTCAATGGGGAGCCTGCTTCCTCCTCTCTCTGTCTCTGCCTGCCACTCTGCCTACTTGTCTGTCAAATAAAAAAATAAAAAAAAGAAAGTTTAATACCTATACTTTTCAAAATTTTACAAAAAATAGAAATGGAAGGAAAATTTCCAAATTTATACTATGAGGCTGGCATTACCCTGATTCCAAAACCAGATAAAGACACTACAAAAGAACTATGGCCAATATTCCTGATGAACAACTCAACAAAGATCCTCAACAAAATGTTAGCAAACCAAATCAAACAATGCATTCACCATGATCACGTGGGATTTATTCCTGGGTTGCGAGGGTTTTTCAACATTGGCAAATCAATCAACATGATATATAACATCAATAAAATAAAAGATAAAACCCATACGATCATTTCAATAGATGCAGAAAAAGGATTTGATGACGTACAACTTCCATTCATGATAAAAACCCTTCACAAAGTGGGTTTAGAGGGAACATGACTCAACATAATAATGGCCACATCTGAAAAACTCACAGCTAATGTAATATAATTCTCAATGGGGAAAAACAGAGCTTTTCCTTTATGGTCAGGAAGAAGACAAGAATGTCCTTTCTCACTTTTATTTGACATAGTACTGGAAGTCCTAGCCACAGCAAACAGACAAGAGAAAGGAATAAAAGGCATCCAAATTGATAGGGAAGAAGTAAAACTTTCACTATTTGCAGATGACATGTTCTATATACTGGAAGAGATTATGCTAAATGAAATAAGTCAAGCAGAGAGAGTCAATTATCATATGGTTTCACTTATTTGTGGAGCATAACAAATAACATGGAGGACATGGGGAGATGGAGAGGAGAAGGGAGTTGAAGGAAATTGGAAGGGGAGGTGAACCATGAGAGACTATGGGCTCTGAAAAACAACCTGAGGGTTTTGAAGAGGCGGGGGGGGTGGGAGGTTGGGGGAGCCAGGTGGTGGGTATTAAGGAGGGCACGTATTGCATGGAGCACTGGGTGTGGTGCAAAAACAATGAATACTGTTACGCTGAAAAGAAATTAAAAAAAAAAAAGAAAAAAGAAAGCCCTGAAGACTCCACCAAAAAATTACTAGGGCTGATAAATGAATTCAGTGTGGTCACAGTAACAAAATCAATGTATAGAAGCCTGTTGCATTTCTAAACACTAATGATCAAGCAGTAGAAAAGAAATTAAAACAATCCCATTTACAGTAGCACCAGAAATAATAAAGTAGCTAGGAATAAACTTAACCAAAAAGGTGAAAACTTGTATTCTGAAAACTATAAAACACTGATGAAAGAAATTGAAGATGACACAAAGAAATGGAAAGACATTCCATGTTCATGGATTGGAAGAACAAATGCTGTTAAAATGTCTATACTATCCTAAGCAAATTACAGATTTAATGCAATCCCTATCAAAACAGCACTTTTTTTTTTTAACAGAACTAGAAAAAAACAGTCCTAAGATTTGTATGGAACCACAAAAGACCCTGAATAACCAAAACAATCTTGAAAAGGAAAAATAAAACTAGAGGTATAATTCAAGACTGCAAGTTTTATTACAAAGCTGTAGTGATCAAGACAACATGGTACTGGCACAAAAATAGACACTTAGATCAATGGAACAGTATAGAAGCCCAGAAGTAAACCCACAATTATATGGTGATCTTCCAACAAAGGAAGAAAGAATACCCAATGGGAAAAAGTCTCTTCAACAAACGGTCTTGGGAAAATTGGACAGCTATATGCAATAGAATGAAACTAGACCACTTTCTTACACCATGCACAGTATAAACTCAAAATTGATTAATGGCCTAAATGTGAGACAGGCACCATAAAAATCCTATAGGGGAGAACAGGCAATAATTTCTCTGACATTGGCCATAGCAACTTCTTTCTGGATATGTCTCCTGAGACATGAGAAACAAAAGCAAAAGTAAACTGTTGGGACTACATCAAAATTAAAAGCTTCTGCACAGTGAAGGAAACCAACTAAACTAAAAGTCAGCTATAGAATGGGAGAAGGTATTTGCAAATGACATATTTGTTAAAAGATTAGTACCCAAAATATGTAAAGTATTTATACAACTCAACACCTAAAAACCAATAATCCAGTTAAAAATGGGCAGAAGGCATAAATAGAAATTTCTCCAAAGAAGACATCCAGATGGGCAACAGACACATAAGAAGATGCTTAACATCAGAGATCATCAGGGAAATGCAAATCAAAACTACAATGAGATACAACCTCACACCTGTCAGAATGGCTAAAATAAAAAAAATTCAAGAAACAAGTGTTGGAGAGGATGTGGAGGAAAAGGAACACTTGTGCACTTTTGGTGGAAATGCAAACTGATGCAGCCACTCTGGAGAACAATATGGAGTTTTCTCAAGAAGTTAAAAATAGACCTAACTTATGGTCTCATAATCACAGTACTGTATATTTACCCAAAGAACATAAAAATATGAATTTAAAGGGATACATGCTCCCTAACATAGCAGCATTATCAACAATAGCCAAACTATGGAAGGAGCCCAAATGTCCATCAAATGATGAATGGATAAAAAAGATGTGGTAGATATGTAATGTAGAATATTATTCATCCATCAAAAAGAATGAAATCTTGCCATTTGCAATGACATGAGTGGAGGTATAGTGTATTATGCTAAGTGAAATAAGAAAAGTACAAGACAAGTTTATATGATTTCACTCATATGCGGAATTTAAAGAAGCAAAACAGATGAACATATGAAGGGGAGAAAAAAAAGGAAGGAAACAAACCATAAGAGACTCTTAAAGATAGAGAACAAACTGGGGATCGATGAATGGAAGTGGGTGGAGATTGGCTAGATGGGTGATGGGTAGTAGGAGGGCACTGGTTTTTTATTTTTCTTTTTAAGAGTTATTTATTTCAGAGAGAGAGAGAGAGAGAGAGAGAGAGACAGAGAGAGACTATGCATGTGAGTAGGGGTAGTGTGGAGGGAGCAAGGCAGAGGGAGAAAAGAAAGCCTGAGGCAGGACTTGATCCCGGGACCTGTGATCATGGCCTGAGCTGAAATAAAGAGTGGGACACTTAACTGACTGAGCCACTCATGCAGCCTCATAAGAGGGCATTCAGTATGATGAGCACTAGGTGTTGTATGTAAGTAATGAATCACTGAATTCTACTCCTGAAACCAATATTGCACTATATGTTAAGTAACTAGAATTTAAATAAAAATTTCAAAAGAAAGAAATAGGAAAACAGTATTAACACATAATATAGCATAAAATCATTTTTAGATTATTAGAAATTTCTGACATTTAGTAAAATAATATATCTGATAACAGCTTAATATTCTAATTAATTCTATGAACTATTAACTCCAAGAGCTACAATGGAAAGTTAACTAAAATATTTTTAAACTTTTTATTTTATTGTATTTTTAAATTCAAGTATAATTAACATAGAGTGTTACATTAGTTTCAGGTGTACATTCCCCCATTTCCCTTCCACACTTTTGGCATCAGGAGTTTGTTCTCTGTAAAAGGCTGTTTTTGGTTGTCTTTTTTCCCCTTTATTTTGTTTCTTAAATTCAACGAGTGAAAGCATATGATATTTGTCCTTTTCTGACATATCTTTTTGAGAGAAAGTCACAAGTTGTGCTTGCTAAATTCAAATTTATTTCTATATAATACATTTTAAAAATAGTACATGAAAAAAACCCAAAGTTTCTATCACATCTTGCTCATCTGGAAGCACATGGAATACAATTATGATCTGAGGTCTCTCTCCCCTTGAATTCTAAAGGATATATTGGCTCAAATCATTTTTTTCCAGGGTCCTGGTCCTTCTCTTTTTGCATACATGGTTGTTATTATGATCCAAAGACAAAATTCACTCAAAAAATAAAACTCTTCGACAAACTACTGAGTTTACTGATTTTTTTTTCAATAATTAGGAAAAAGGCACAAAGATTAATTTCATAAATTAGAGCAGTGTAAATTCACACATTAAATACTCTTTTTATTTGGCGGCCTTTTAGCCACCTCATAGTTGGGAGTCTCTCATTGCCTTATTACTGCATATAATTATCTTTTATTCTTGCTGTTCTCCTCATCATTTTTTTCTCATGGAATAGTAAGCTGTCTTCCTGTGCTACTCATACCCATGATTTTAAGACCCCAATCTCCCACCTCATAGTTCTCAACCTTAGTTGCTCCAATGATCATGTGGACCCTGCACCCAGAGATTTTGATAGAAATGTCTCACGTGGAGCCTGGGTATAGGTATTTTTAAAATGCTTCTTGGAGGGATGCCTGGGTGGCTCAGTCCGTTAAGGATCTGCCTTCAGCTTAGGTCATGATCCCATGATCCCATGATGCCATAGTTCTGGGATAGAGTTCCCCATCAGGCTCCCTGTTCAGCAGAGAGCCTGCTTCTCCCTCTGCTTGACACTCCCCCTGCTTGTGCTCTCTCTCTCTCTAGCAAGTAAATAAAATCTTTAAATGCTTGGATAGTTCTGGAATTCAGGAACTAGTCAAATTATTTTTCCAGATATTTCCCTTTTTAAGTGGACTACTAGTGCTAGGTGGTAAGAAAATAAAACTAACTTCTCACATATGGTTACGTCTTTAAAATATGAAGGCTTATAGCTTATTTCACATTTATTTCAATGTTTCAAATTATTACCTTATACTTTTTGTATTTTTATGCCAATTCTTGATAATATGAATTCTGAAACTCTCTTGAATTTTTCTTATGTATTATCTGTACACACAATCTGATTGTGTGACTATTCTTCATTTCCTTTTGCTTTTAGTATTGTGTCAAATTTGTGTGTGTAAAAGTTCAACACCAGATAACAGATGAGGAGTGCAACTCTACTTATTGCAATAGCCACGGAGTAAGTAATTTCAATTTTCATTTTAGCAAGATACTTTGAACGATGCTATAAAATGGTTTTGAGATTTAAAAAAAATTATTAAGATGATTTTCATGCTGCTTGGTGTCATCTAAGAGTCTATAATTTATAACTTCAATCTTATTTTCTTAAGAAATGTTGCTAAACTATTTATTAGAGAATATAAAGTAGAAACATTTAAGATGATTCTGGATGTATGAAGTGTTAGGTAAATATAAGGGGTACATGTGCTATATGCACCATGTATTGTTATATAACAAAAATGATCTTATTTTCACAGAAAGAAGGTAGAAACTGGTAAACAAAGGTCATTAGAAATTTTTTCTAGTCTTGCTTGTTAATTCAGAGTCTGGGCTGTTCTGTGAAACTGGCAACTAAATGATAATTAGTGGCATGTTACTGGTAATTGATAGTATTTGGGTCTGGTTATGGAAAGAGTTGAATTTTTTTTTTAAATTACTTTGTCAGCAGAAGCTAAATATACTTTCTAAAGTATGGACAATATTGAGAGAAAATTTGTGAAAATTTATTTGTCTATTTAAGTTAAATGAATAAATTCTCTGAAATAAATTCTCTGTTGAGTAAGTATAGAATATTCATTGGTCTCTAATGAAAACCGTCTTTGTCTCTAAAAAACAATTGTTCTATTTTCTGATTACTCCAGGTTTGCAACAATTTAAATCATTGCCAGTGTGAAAAGGGGTTTGATCCTCCTACATGCCTGCAGAAGAAGGGAGAATTTGGAAGTATTGATGATGGGCACAAGGCTCCATCTGGTTAGTGTCTTTCAAATTTTATTAATCAAAGATAATATGTAAGAGAAAAAATTAAAGTATAGGTTCCAAGCTAGGTTACAAAGGAACTGATACCAAAAACATGTTTTTGTTTTATTTGTAAAATTTTTAAAAATCTAAGACAGTAGAAGTTTTTTCTGTACTTTTTATATATCAACATTGACATTGGCATTTATATCAACGTTGACACAAAAAGTGTACCCAGATTAGGCAATATAAAAGAAATTCCAGTGCATAAAATTTGACTAGCTAATTTGGATTGTTCACTTTGGATTGTCTCATACATTTCTGGTTTAAAATAATGTTTGTTAGTAGTCATTGTTATATTAATGCCACCAGATTCTTTCAGGCTATCTTTTACTCTTTTTTGCTGCACTGTAAGGACTCCAGTCCAATCTTTTGAACTACCCTCTCTAGAATCTCTCCTGTGGGGTTCACGAGTACTATTTTGAGATTAAGCAGTCCTGGCTAGGACTGAGGCTACCTGGGGGATATTCCCTGGTTTTAGAAGATATTGGAGCCCACCTAGGATAACTTGGGAGCAGAGGCTCTCTACCCTCACCCCCTTTCCTTTTGGGGCATATAAATACTGAAACTCCTTGGCAGATTTACTTGAAGCTTGGATACTAGGGGGAAGGTGTAGCTAGGGACCAACTTTTTACAGAGTTAACACACAGCCATATTAGACTGTATATCAGACCAAAAAACAAACAAAAAAAGGAATAATAGTTTAACATGTAACATAATTTTAAACATATATTATTTTCACATAAATGTGTAAAACAGATATTTATTTAAAATTACATATTATGTATTAGTGATTTTTATTACATAAATACTATTATTTAAGTAAAACAACAATATTAGTTACCAGTGTGTACAACCAATTAAGAAAATAATATATATGAGCAAAAATGTAACAATAATTTATAATGACAGTATTTTTTAATATTTCCCTTGAAATAGCAATTTACATTTACCTCTTTTTAAAAAGTCTTTACTGGATATTTAAAGTTTGCAGGCTATCTTATTGTATATTATTCAGATTCATAAATGTAAGAATTTTCAAAAGGGGAATATAAATATAGGAAAAATTAAGCTTGCCCTATATTTAATAAAAAATAACAATGACAGTATTCTCTCTCTCCCTTCCTTCCTTCTTTCTTTTTCTTTCTTTCTCTCTCTCTTTCTTTCTTTTTACTAATGAATCATTGAATACTACATCAAAAACTAATGATGTACTATATGTTGGCTAACTGAACTTAATTTAAAAAATCTTTTTTTAATAAAACATGATTCTCTTTGTTTTATGATATGGTCAGATATATTTTTGGCCCTTTCTGTTTCATTTTCCAATTATACTTCTCTGTATTGCTTGCAGCCTTTCAGATATCCTTCCTTTAAGCAGCAGCAAAATGGAATAGAGCTAAATGTACAATTCCTTTTGTCTTGAAGCTCTGCTTTATCAAGCCACATTTCCTGAATTCAGGTGTCAGTCTATTGTGATGGCATCCACAAAGATCTCCTACAAAGCATTTGAACATGACATACCTGTTGTTGTTGTTGTTTTTTTTTTTAACTAGACACAGCAGGGTTTTAGGCTTGTAGAAATTATTTTGCAGATCTCCAAAAACATTCATTAGCTTTGTTTCTGTAGGTGTCTTCTAGTAGATCAGGTACCAAGCAGTCAGTTTCTTTTCATGTTTAATTCACCATATAGGCTGCCCATTTCAAAAATGCTCATCATTTTTAAAAAAATTTATTTATTTGTCAGAGAGAGAGAGAGAGAGAGAGAGAGAGAGCGAGCACACAGGCAGGCAGAAAGGCAGGCAGAGGCAGAGGGAGAAGCAGGCTCCCCGCCGAGCAAGGAGCCCGATGCGGGGTTCGATCCCAGGACCACGAGATCATGACCCGAGCTGAAGGCAGAGGTTTAACCCACTGAGCCACCCAGGTGCCCCAAAAATGCTCATTTTTAAGCACTCTAAATCACATTGGATGTCAGAAGTTGTATATTTTTTTTTCCTTAGGGAACATGGTTGAAAGCATAGAGGTAATTTGCACTTGTGAAATCTAAGTTGAATTACAAATAAATTTCAATTTTAATAAAGGTCTGAGAAGGTCCTGTTTCACTGCTTACCTTTTTCTAATTACATTTTTTGAGTTCTGAAGCAGTCTTTTTCCAAAAATATGAGTCATAGGTATAGTCAGTTCATTTTTTCCCCCTTAGATTCACAGATTAGCAAATTATTTCAGAGAAACAGCATGTAAATTCTCTTTTTACTGCAACCTTTCTATTTTCCTCTTCAATGTACTTAAAAATTAAAGAAGTACTTAAAAATTAAAGAAGTACATTCTTATTGTCCAGCCTTTCAAGAACAAGATTTTATGCCAGGCCAGTATTCTAACACATCTCATATAGCTTATAACACTAAGAACCATCTTGTATGCATCCATGTCTGAGGAAGCCATTGCCTTCCCATTTCATAAAGTTTTGAAAAATCCCAGGGTACCTGGGTAGCTCAGTTGGTTAGGCATCTGCTTTGAGCTGGGGTCATGATTCTGGAATCCTGGGACTGAGCCCCAGGTCGAGCTTCCTGCTCAGTGTGGAGCCTGCTTCTCTCTTTCTCTCTGCCCCTCCCCCCTGCTTGTGCTTTATCACACACTCTCTCTCTCTGTGAAATAAATTAATTAAAAAAAAAATCCCATTACCAGCTTCCATACCTTTTGAGGAAACTAAAAGTGACCAAAAGCTTTCATCAGGAAAGCCTGTATATCACAGGTAAGCATATCACACTCCATTCAGTGTTGTATCCATGGTGTGTAGGATGTTTAGTGGGTAAGTTCTTTTCCTTTTCTTTGAGAAGAAGCTTATAGACTGAATGGGATTTGCAGAAGTTTACATTTGGACTGCCTGCTAAATATGCGTATTGGTCAACAAAGTCTACTTTGGATTTGAGCAAGATAAAAATTTTTTTTCTGTAATTAAAATCTGTGTGGAAATTAAACTTATTTTAAAACTTCATTTTTAAAATCAAATTAAGAACTGGGGGAATATTTTGCTGCCTTATTCATTTGTTAAGATATGACAGTTATTGCTACACTTAAGGAGTCAGCAGATATTATAACAATTTTCACGTTTTTCTCCCGCAGGATATTTTTAATGCAATCTGTGAATCCAGAAATGTAACTTCATTTGGTTTTGTAAAACAATGAAGGGGATGAGTGATAGGGTAGTGCATGTTTGTTCCTATGGTATGCCAAAACTAATGCTAATTTGCTAGGTATTTTTGTCAGGACAAAATGGTGTCTTTCGGGGAGAGAAAAGAATTTTTTTAAATTGGGAAACAAAAAGATGCAGTTGATTTAAAAATACATGCTTATTTCATCCAAAAAATTTGTGATTCAACCTCCAAATATGCTTTCACAACACCTTTTCCACCATACCTATTCCAAATTCTTTTTTTTAATTGAGATATAATTGACATATTAGTTTCAGGTGTACCATATAATGATTCAATATTTGTATACTTTGTGAAATGGCTGCTGTAAGTCTAGTTAGCATCCATCACTGTACATAGTTACCTTTATTTTTTCTTATAATGAGAACTTTCAAGGTCTATTCTCTTAGCAACGTTCAAATATGTAATACAGTATTATTTACAATAGTTACCATGCTGTACATTGCCTTCCTAGGAATTACTGATTTTAAAACTGGAAGTTTGTATCTTTTAACCCCTTTCATCCATTTCACTCAGCCCTCCACACCACTGACAACCATCAGTATGTTTTCCACATCTGTAAGCTTGATTCCACATATAAATGAGATCATATAAATATATTGTCTTAGTGTCTGACTTATTTCACTTAACAGAAGGCTCTCAAGATCCATCCATGTCATTATGAATGGCAAGATTTCATTCCTTTTTATGGCTGAATAATATTCCATTGTCTACATATGACCACATTTTCTTTATCTCTTCATTTACTGGTGGACATTTAGGTTGTATCCATATCTTGGCTATTATAAATAATGCTGCAGTGAACATGGGTGGATCATATATAGTTCTGAGGTATGTGTTCATTTTCTTTGCCTATATACCCAGAAGTGGAATTGCTGGTTCATATGGTAGTTCTATTTGTAATTTTTTAACCTTGCCCTCCATACTGTTTTCCATAGGAGCTGCACAACTTTATATTTTTACCAATGGTGTTCAAGGGTTCTTTTTTCTCCATATTCTTGCCAACACTTGTTATTTCTTGTCTTTTTGAGAATAACCATTTTATTTTTTATTAAAAAAAATTATTTATTCATTTGAGAAATGAATGCATAAGAGGGCAAGAGGCAGAGAGAGGAAGTAGACTCTTTCCTGAGCTGGGAGCCCGATGCAAGGCTTGATCCCAGGACCTGGAGATCATGACCTGAGCCAAAGGCAGATGCCCAACCATCTGAGCCACCCAGGCACCCCATGATAATAATCATTTTAACATGTGTGAAGTTATATCTCTTTATGGTTTTTATTTGTATTTCCCTGATGATTAGTGATATTGAGTACCTTTTCATGTACACATTGGCCATTTGAATGTCTTTGGGAAAATTTCTATTCATTTCTTGTGCCCAGGATTATTTGGGGTTTTTTGCTAGTGAGTTAAATGAATTCTTAATATATTTTGGATATTAACCCCTCATCAGATATATTGTTGGCAAATATTTCCTCTCATTCATGGGGTTACTTTTAAATTTTGTTGATGATTCCATTGTTGTGCAGGTTTGTAGTTTGGTGTAGTCCCACTTGTTTGTTTTTGCTTTTGTTGCCTCTACATTAAGTGTCAGATTCAAAAAATCATCACCAAAATCAATATCAAGGAGCTTGCTACCTGTGTTTTCTTCTAGGAGTTTTATGGTTTCATGTACATTCAGGCCTTTAAAACATTTTAAGCTAATATTTGTTTATCATATAAAAAAGTCCCGTTTCATTCTTTAG